CCATCGCTACAGCCCCAGGGCTACTGCATCGCCCGCTCTGCAGCATCCCTACAGCCCCAGGACTGCTGTACCAACAGGTTTGCCCCATCACTACTATCTCTGAGCTGCGGTACCACCCGCTCTGCAGCATCTCTGTAGCCTCGGGGCTGCTCCAGCGATGGGGCTGTAGTGTGGTCTCCACTCCAGGACTGCTCCGCCCACCCCACCGAGGCTGCAGCAGCACCACAGCTCCTCCCCCGGCCACGCACTACCGCCTGGTGTACACCTGCAAGGTGGGAGCAGTGCTGGGGGGATGTGGTGGGCGTGGGGTTGGAATGGGTTGCTCAGGGAGGTCGTGGAGTTGCCATGCCTAGAGGTGTTTACAGGGTGGCCGAGTCTGGTGCTCGAGGATAGATAGGGTTTAGGGGTTACAGCAGCAAGAGGTTAAGGGTTGGACTTGATGATCTTAGAGGTCTCTTCCAGCCTTGATGGTTCTGTGATTCCGTGGAGCCCCTGCCTGGGTTAGCTTTGTGCTAACTTAGTGTTTAGGGTTAACACCCTATGGTTAACCCCATGGTTAACACATGTGGCACAAAGCATCAAAGCACAGCTGTGCTGCCTTGTGATGGAGGTGAGGGAGGGAGGAAGAAACCTGTAATCACAGAATAATTAAGGTTGGAAAAGATATCTGAGATCATCAAGGCCAACCTATGACCTAACACCTCCACCTCAACCAGACCGTGGCACTAAGCACCACGTCCAGTCTGTCCTCAAACACCTCCAGGGATGGTGACTGCACCACCTATCACATAAATGAAGTCTTTCAGTCCTAAAGGCTCAGGAGCTGCAGGTGCTGTGGCTATAAATCTGCTTTGCTTGCTTCACAGGTGTGCCAGACCCGCTCAGCCAAGTCCATCTCCAAGGCAGCTTATCACCGTGGGGTGGTGATCGTGACATGTCCTGGCTGTGGGAACCACCACGTCATTGCTGACAACCTAGGCTGGTTCTCAGACCTAGAGGGCAAAAGGTGAGTGTGCCAAGGAGCTGCAGGTGCTGTGGCTATAAATCTGCTTTGCTTGCTTCACAGGTGTGCCAGACCCGCTCAGCCAAGTCCATCTCCAAGGCAGCTTATCACCGTGGGGTGGTGATCGTGACATGTCCTGGCTGTGGGAACCACCACGTCATTGCTGACAACCTAGGCTGGTTCTCAGACCTAGAGGGCAAAAGGTGAGTGTGCCAATCCTGCTCAGGAACCACCACGTCATTGCTGACAACCTGGGCTGGTTCTCAGACCTGGAGGGCAAAAGGTGAGTGTGCCAGAGCCATCCTGCTCAGCTCCTGCTCAGAGCTGACCTGGAGCCTCCCAAGCTAACACATTATTTCTCTGATGCTTTTAAAACGTGACTCAGAGAACCAAAGTTTCTGCTGGGCATAATGCTGTTTTACCAACCCTTAAAGCACACAAACTGAGGTTTAGGTCACTTGTGATTTGGCTGTTGCTATCTAGGATCCAAATAAATGGGGTGAAGCTGCAGCAGAAGCTGTGGAATGCACAGGGATCATGTTGGTGCCAGCAGGTGAATTAACTATCTGGGGGTTCTTCTGTTCCCCTCAGGCTTTAACACATCACTGCTAGATTCCCCTGGTTATGTGTTTCGAGTGTGTAGACTCATCTGCTGCTGAATTCCAAGGATTTCTAACTTCCTGTGATATCTTTAAAAACTTCTGTTGAGCTGTAATTGCTAAATTATTGATGCTAGTGGATGAAAATAGTCCTGGAAAGTTTGGGTAGTTTTCTGTTCTTGCCAAACTCCTTATGGAGGAATCCCACAATGATGCTCATGTGATTCACTGTGTAGTGTCAGCCCTGGGAGGAGAGTGGAGCAGTGAGTCTGTGCTTGGCTGTGTGTTGCCCTTGCTGTGGTGTCACTGTTGGGTCTCAAATTGCTGTTCAGGAACATCGAGGAGATCCTGGCAGCCAAAGGGGAGAAGGTGAGACGTGTGGCTGGAGAAGAAGCTCTGGAACTGCTGCTGGAGAGCTCAGCAGAGCCTGAGCCCCAGGGCCAGCTCGCAGAGGGGGAAGGTGGGCAACCCCCCCCAGAGCCTGGCAGCAAGGGACAGACCTGACCAGTGGGACTTGGGTCATCCTGCTGCTGGTGCAAAGAGACTCCTCACCTTCATTCCCTGATTTCAGCAGTTTGTGTTTAAAATAAACTCAGGTGTTGGTTTTTCTGTGCTGTGTGTCTATATCCTGTGTAGTTTTGCCTTTGATCAAGTGATGGGTGTAGAGGTGCTGTTGATATTTTTCCTGGTACTTGTTTTGCTGACTTTGAGGCTGGTTTTGGTGTCCCAACAGTCCTGTTTTATTCCCTGCTGAGAAGGCAGCCAGAAATTCTTTGTCCATATGTGTCTGGCCTAGAGAGGTACAGCTGGAGATGGAGGTTTTAGGGCTGGTCCCTGCCCTTGCCCAGGTGTGGCAGAGCTGGTGGAGACAAGCTGAGCAGAGAGGGCAATTGATACCACCTGAGGAGATGTGTCCCCAGTTTGCAAGGCCAAAAGGGTCAGATCACCAGCTCCTACTGCAGTCCTGTGCTGCTTTTCTCTCTCCCTTGCCCTCTGCCAGAGTTCTGTCTCTGTCCCTCGTGTCAGCACTGAAAGTTGTGTGTGTTGGGGGTTACAGTGTCAGCTCTCACACTCAGCTGGTGAGTTATGCAACTCCTTGTTGGTGAGGGGGAGGATATGGGTGTGAAGGCAAAATTAATAGTTGTGGAGCATGTTGGAGAGGAGTAGAGCACCTAGAAAGTTGTCTTGGAGCTCCTTGGCAGATATTGAGGAGTTTATTAGCACTATTGCTGTGTGCTAAGATCAGTCAGAGGGAAAGAAGTAACTGATGACAACTGTAGGTGTTTGCTAGCACAGAACACAGGTAGTGGTGGATGGTGTTGCACTTTGTTAGGGTTTGCTGCCTCTGTGCAGTGGAACAGCTGCTTTCTTGGGGTTTGAAGCTTCTAATCAAAGAATCATTCAGGTTGGAAGAGCTCTCTGGAGGTTTCAAGTCCAACCCCCTTCTTCACAAGAGGATGTTGAGGATCTTGTGAGCATCTCTAAGGTGGAGCTCCCACAACCTCTTACATCCCATCTCGTTAGGGAGCCACAGAGAGCAGTAAAATCCCTCTCAGCCTTTGTGTCTCAGGTTGAGCAAATAGTTCTCAGCCAAGCATGTCCCAGTGCTCCTGATCCTGCATCAGTGAGGGCATTGCAGGGATTAATGAGTTTCATTCAGCTGAGGTGCTCATAGCAACTTTATGCACGTTGCATTAGGAGTATTGGGTCAGAGTAACAGGGAAGTAGTTGTGTTTGTGTTGGTGTGTCAGTTCAGATGATGAAACAGGGGCAGGAACTTGATCAGGCAGCTGCTGTGTGCTCAGATCCCTGTGAGACACAGCTCTCCCTGAGACATCCAGCTGCTGCACTGAGCCAGTGCACCCCAGAGCACTGCTGGCAGGTATTAGCCTTGCTGGGAGAGTGCTTGCTTTATTACCTCTAACCTGAAAATCAGCATTCTGCTTCCATGGTGCTAATGCCTTTGATGGGGTGGAACAGAGCAGCTGTTGCAGGATCTGTGTTGCCTTGGAAACAACTCATTTACAACTTGGCTTTTTTGGTACTGTTTTCCTTAACTTTTCTTACCTGTTGCTGTGCCTCAGCTACAGGAAGGTGGTGCTAGTTTTTGCTGTGTTACAGTAAAGAAATGGAGCAAAATCTGTGTTGGCTGTTGCTGGATTGGAAGGGTTTCCTTGTCCCAGATGCTCTCTGGAGGCAGGACAGAGGCAGCACCCAGCTCTGAGCATGAAGGGTGGCAGCTCTTGCTGCAGCTCTGAAGGTTCAGGCCAATGTTATGTCAGGGAATTTGCATATAACACAAGAAGGTTTTGCTGCTAGAAGTTTTTCCAGGTAAGAAAGGAATTTTGAAGTGGATTTTTCTGCAAAATGTTGTATCCTGGGGCAGTGGGTTTGCTCTGGAAAGGGGACACAGGTGAGCACACTGTGCCTGGGGGGAACCCAGCAGAACTGGCTTTAGCCAAAAACAGGGAGTGAGGAGAGCCAGCATTTCTCCAGAGCTGGAGGGGTGGCAGGATGGGGGAAAAGGTGCCCTGAAGTCACAGTGGAGCAGGAGAGAGTCTGAAGGAGCAGAGAGAGACAAGGCACAGCTGACCAGGGTAAGTCTTTTTGGCACAGAAGGGAAGTGGTGATATCAAGGAGGCCAAAGCAGCATTCACAGGACAGCAAACATAAAGCTGTTTGCCCCCTGGACTGCAAACCCGTATGTCCTGGCCTAGAGGAGTCCCAGGAGATTGCTGTGGAGAGCTGCTGGAAGCTGTCCAACCCCAGGCTGGAATTTCCAGTGCCTGAGTGCCTTTTCAGGCAAGAGGCAGATCAGTGATGGCTGGAGCAGAGCAGCACGAGGCTCTGGGCACAGCTGGGGGGAGTGTGGGACCTCAGCCTTGATGTGAGTTGGCAGATGAGCCATACACACACACACACCCCCAGGCCTGACATCAGCCCTGTCTCAAGTGCCCCTTGGCACATGTCTACAGCTGGGTAGGAGAGGGCAGGAGCTTGTGGTTTTCAGAGTTTTAGAGTGGGTTTTAGAGTTCTTCATGAAGAGGACCTCAGGTCCAGCCCTGCAGCAGGGACAGTGCCCTGCTCTGAGGAGCTCACACTGCACAGCTGCAGCAGCAGTGTTCAGGGTCCCCGCAGTGCCACGACTCTCCGGCTGATGTCAGCATTGGAAAGCTCTTCCAGACGTGGGATCGAGCTCTGCGGGCGTGGGAGAGGGAAGGCACAGCCACCGCTGCAGACTGGCAGCTGCTCTGGAGAGGAAGAGCCATTGCCTCCTGCTCACAGGAACGAGACCAAACACGGGACAGCGTGTGCTGCCTTCCCCAGCGTGAAGGGTGGAGAGACAGGAGGTGAGAACACATCACTCACAGGGATTGCACTTGCTCCTGGGAATCTGAGCCTCTGTCCTTTGCACAACGGGGAGCACAGTTCTGTCCCCAAGTCACACTCAGAGCTGCTGTGTCCAAGCACCCAGAGGGGTGAGAACACCTGAGGAGGATGAGCTGGTGGCTCTTCATTACTCTTTGCTCAGCACTCGGCAGGGGCCAGCACAAGTTAGCCAGGCATGGCAAGACCAGCTGGGACTTGGCTCTATCCTCACAGGGATCCAAACTGTGCTGCTCCCAGGTCTCTTTCTAGCACAGCCCAACCTCCTGCTCACACCTGCTGTGCTGGAATGAGCTGGCATTGCTGCTGCTGCTCTGAGTGTCTTCTCTGAGGGCTGGTGCCAGGGCTGTGCCCAGCACTTGTCCTCTGGAAGCTTCTGCTGAAGGAACCACAGAACTTCTGGGCCTGGTGCTGGAGAGGCAGCGAGACAGAGCTGGGCCAGGCAGGGCCTGAAAGGAAAAGCTTGGCCTTTTCCTTCTCGGCCATGCAGGGCTGCTCTGCCTGCCCTGTCATCCTGGAAACTTGTGGGCAGGGAATTCTCAGGGCTTTGTGCCTTCCCTCCACAGCCACATCCATGCTGGACTGGTGGCTGCTGCCAGGAGACATCAATGTGTGTTTTTAATGTAAAGGAATGTAGGTGCTCACCCCCTTTTCTTAACATGTGTGGTGATGTGTGGGCAGAGACCCCCCCACCCACTCCCACCCCATTCCACAGAGCCAGGATTAGCCCTGCTCTTAGCCAAGAAATAATGGAAATGAGTGTTTTGCACTGAAGCTTAGACACAAATATTTATTAAGCACAAATCCCCTCCCACCCCTACCCTGGAGCTGTACTCATTTCTAATATATTAATCCATTTGGCAGATTATTTTTTTAGAAAATAAACAAGTACCTGTGGGTTGGAAATTCCCCATTAAAATTACATTAGCAAATGCACATGTAAAAAATAAATAAGCTCATACATTCAAGTATATGGCAAATAATACCTCAATAATACCTCTGAAAGCTTAATGGTCAGATTCCAGTTGACCACCTGGCTGAGAGCTGCACAGGCCTAAACCTGCAGCTGGTCAGGTCATCTTCATCATTAATGTATTGTTTCACAAATGCCAGCTTGGTTGGCAGGGTGGGTGGCTGGGTATGTCCTCTCCCTTCTTCAGAGCTCTACCCAGCCTTGGGAAGGAGGTCCAGCCTTGGCCCGCCAATCTGTTCCGCAGGTGAGTGGTCCCTGGTAGCAGGTAGAACCCAGCTACCACTCCACGTGGTCAGTGCAGGCAGAGTAAATGCCCCCTGAGCAGCATCACTGGTCTGGAAATCTCACTGCTGGTTGGGAATGTTTCTGTCAAATGCATTTCAAATACAAAGTGCTGATTTGTTCCCTACAGGAATGTTGCTGCTTCAGCACTGGAGTTTCTCAAGTCCAAGATAGTCTCTGGTCAAGGAAAGGAAAAATACTGCACCTCCTGCAGTCAGGTCTCTCCTCCCCTCATCCAGCTCTTCCAACTGGTCCAAAAGGGGAAGGAATGGCAGTAAATGTGTGTGTGGGGTGGGACTGATTTCCCAGCCAGGCCCCCAGGCTGGGGCTCTCCAGAGGCTCCAGTTACTGGAGGAAGGTAGGGCAGAACTGGAGTTCCTCACCGAGAACAGCTCTGCCAGGGCTGGGAGCAGCTCAGCACTGCTTTGGGAAGAAACAAGGGGAGGGAAGGGCCATTATCCCACGTCGCTGTTGGACACAGAAGGGAGGAAGGACAAGCTGTGGGCAGAAAGCTTTGCTGGCTGTCAGAGCAGGTCCCTGTCACGTGTAGGTTCTGCCTCAGCACACTCACCTGTGCACAAGACAGTCCTGAGTGAGACCTTGGCTCAGTGGCACCAGGAGCTGCCTGTGTTTGCCACGTGCTGCACAGATGGGCAGAGACCTTCCCTGTCCTGGGGCTGCCCCAGGCTTTGTCCCTGCCCAGAAGGTCCCAGCACAGCTCTGCACAGGGGCTGGGGAGGCAGAGGGATGTCCAGGGTTATCTGCAGAGTCCTCAGCAAACCTAAAACACACTCAGGTGTGTGGGACAGGGTGAGGTGAGAGGACTGGCATGGCCTTAGATTTGGGCTTATTTTCTCCTGTAGGAGGAACAAAGCTGAGTGAGATGTTCCAGGGAAGGACCCAGAGCCATTTGTGGGAGCTCATGATGCAGGTAAGACAGGAGGACTTCAGCATGGAAAAAGTGTTCTTCCCTTCCCCGGTTAATTAAGTGTTGTGGAAATAAAAGACATCAAGGTTGGAGTTAACTACCCTCTCTGGGCTCCTCCGAGTTCTGGGTTTTTAGGTGATCAGCAAATGGGCTGCCAAAGTCTTCCCTCGTGCTGTGCCAAGTGTTACAGTGGCCAAGTGTCCTAAAAAAACCCCTTGTTTGAAAACTGTCCCACATCCACTGAGCCTTCCTGGAGCAACACGATGGAGGAACAGCTCCTGCATCTCTGGGACAAGTCTGTGGCAGCACAGGAGCACTTGGCCTTCAAACCACCTACACTTTTTTTATCTTTAAAAACCAAAATAAAGCCAAAACGACCCCCCCAGAGCGCAAACCCCAGTTCTTAGCTCGACCTAGGCCTCTGCTGCTCCTCCTCAGCTGCCTCCTGCGCTGAGGCCAAATCCACCCTCTGCTCGTCCATGCGCTTGGCCTGGACACGCTGGATGAGGCTGAAAAAGTCTTCATCTGGCATGGTGGGACCTCTGGGGATGGAGTCAGGTGGGGCACAGCGCTGGTCATCAATCCTGGAGGACTGTGTGGGAGGAGAGGGGTGTTAGGATGGGACGGTGACAGGACAGAGCTGTCCTGGCAGGGAAGAGCTGGAGCAGAGGCGTCATCAGAGCTCAGGTTGCCCCCACCAGCCCCAAACCAGTACCTGACACTTCATGAGCATGTTGAAGAACTCATCCCCAGGCTCCTGAGCATCTCCCTCCACACGCAGGTGCCCCAGGTTGTTGTGGGTTATCCGGAGCCCTGGCAGGTTGCCCACGTTGGCGCGTTGGTCATCCAGGCGCCTGCTCTGGGAGCTGGCAATGAGATCGAAGAACTCCTCTGTCTGAGGAGATGTCATCAGGGTGGACTGTGCTGGGGGGAGAGCAGCACACAGCAGGGTCACTGCTCTGCCTGCTCATTGCTGAGCTGCACAGCCCAAATCCTCCTCACCAAACCACTGTCCAACCCACCTCCTCCTGTACCCACACACACCCAGCAGGCAGCAAAGGGGGGAAGCAGATGCCTTGCCAGGGTAAGGAGCAGAAGCTCAGACCCACCTCCCACTGCTGGACTCCCCAGAGGGGCTCCCTGCTACTGACTGTGCTTGGCTAACTCCTGTAGACCACCAAAGGTGATACCTCAGCCCAGATGATCAATTGTCTCAACCTCAGCCCAGAAGAAGCTCCCTGCCTCAGCCCAGAACTACTGCCTGGGAGTGATCACTTGCTTCCAGCATTACACTGCTGCTTCCACTCTAGTTTCCACCCAGAGCCACCAAGCAATCCACCAGCAATCACAGGTGAGTGCAGAGTTCCTGAGCACTCGTGTGACTCAGTGACAGCACCTGCACAGTCCTGAGAGCCAGGTGATGATGAATTATTATTCCAGAGAGGTCATCAGCAAAGCTCAGTCTTGCCTGAGCTTCTCACCCAGCAGCACTTTCCCAGCCCCCCAAGGTCCAGCCTTTTTAGGCCAGCTCAAGGAGAGGCACTGCCAAGGTGAATCCACAGCCACTCTGGCTGTCACAGGACACAAGGAGAACACTCATGGGCTCTGGCTGTTCTCAGCAGGCAGAGTGGAGCCAGCCTGGCCTGCCCTGCCGGGAAGGGGTTGGCATGAGCTGATCTAGGGGATCCCAGTCCAGAACTAGTACATATAATCCATCCTCTATAGACCCCTTGGAAATGTCTCTCGGCAGCACTCGCTGCAAAGAGCCTGTTGGCTCCTGGCAGCTGCTGGGCAGGGAAAGGCTTCCAAACAACAGACACTGGGACAGGCACAAGCAAAGGAAAACTGTAAGAAATCCAGCCCAACTGGTGTTCTGTCCCAGTGAGCACAAAGCATTGGGGCAGACACTGCTCTGAGCCTCCTAACACAAGGAGCTGTTCTTAGAGCCTCAGCTCACGCAGTTGCAGAAACACACAAAACCTCAGTGCTGACGCAAAGATGAGTTTCTTCCCTTCCCCTTCAGCTCACAAAGAATCCTTGAAAATAACACGTCCAAGAGGCTCAGAGCCCAAATGAGCCAAACACAACGTGTGCCTGCTTGTGCATTCTTTATAAAGCTCTGGATTTTAAACCAGTCCCCTAAATTACACAGCTGTTACAGCCAAATGCACTTCTGTGTCAGAAATGCATCTCTTGACAAAGTGATGCTTATTTCCACCCTATTTTTAGACAATAAAAACCCTCTCACCTTACTGCCAACCTGCCTTCCTGCCTCAGCCTGACCTTCTCTGCACGGCTCTGCTCTTGCTGCAGCTTCAGCCCCTGCCCCTGGCACCTGCTCCTTGTGCTGTGGCTCTGGGCACACTTGGAGGGGTGTCAGAGGGCTCCTCCTCCCCTGTTTGCACTTTGTATTCGTTTGGAAACTGAACCAATCCCTCAGTTCAAACAAACTGTTTTGAGCCCTTTGTGGAGGTGATTTGTGCACACTGAGTTTCTCTCCAGCTTGGGTTAAACAAAGGCTCTCAACAGTGAAGCAGCCACGAAACTCGAGTGCAAACACAGCCCTGCCTTTCCTGTCCTATTTGTCAGGCACCTTCCTCAATTTATCCCTGTTCTTCCTAGGGTGAGAGCCTGCTGGAGCTTCCCACTGTTTATCCATCCTTCTGGCTCCTCTGTCCTCACGCAGCACCTCTCACCGCAGCATCCAAGAACAGTACAAAATCCAGAAGTTTTCCCTCCATGGCAACACTGTTACAAAAAAAAAACCCTGGCCATACTTTAACTGTCTGTGAAAGCTGCCCCAGACCTCAGACTCCTACAGGGCTCCCTCAATGACCATCATCATCTTCCTCCCGGAGATGCTGGCACGGGCAGAAGTCCTCGTGCCAACCTCACCATTCCACAGCCAACACCTAAAGATCCACACTGAAAGAATCCAAGTATAGTTTGCATTTCTCTCCTCCTAGTTTACTTCCCCAAGCCTTAGCTCACATTCTCCAGCCTTTCCCTCAGCAACCATTAACATAAGAATGACTCTTCCTTCCTTAAATAACGGCGGCGATTGCCAAGGAACTGCTAAGTTCAGAGAGCTGAGGCTTAGGGAAAACATCCCGGGACGCAGAGGGAACCACAGCAGCTGGTTGTGCCGCGGGAACACTCCCACGGCAGGAGAGATGTGCTCACATATCCTCTCTCCCAGGGCTGGCACCGCCGTGGCCGCAGCCTCCGCAGCCTCCGCAGGGCATTCCTCCAGCGGGCAGCGCTGGTCATCCATCCGGTTGCTCTGGAACTTGCTCAACAGGTCAAAGAAGCATTCCTCATCCGAAGGGGTCCGGTTGATTTTCTGCAAAGACAGAAGAGAGTCAGAACACGCTGAACAACTCCCCGAGTCCCAATCGCTCCGTCTGTCGGGAGTGGTTGTGCCCTCTCCTGCTCTGTCCAGGGGATGAGTCCTGGCTGTGCCCGTGGTTTGCCAAGCTCCTCAGCCTGCAGCTCACTGGGGTCACTGCTCCTTGGGCTGTCTGATCCCAGAGGCTCCAGGCACAGCCCAAAGCCTCGTGGAGAGCAGCTGCAGAGCGTCTCGAGCACCCAGAGCAAACTGGAGGTGAAGGGAAAGGAAGGAGGAAAGGGTTCAGCATTCACCTTGGCACTGCTCTGTATGGAGCTTCTGGGCAGGAAAGGGCTGTGCTCAGAGAGGGATGAAGGGGAACTGTGCAGCCACCCTGGCTGAAGTGCTGCTGTGTGCCCAGCTGGGCTCAGTTTGCTTTTCCAGGAGCTAAATCCAACCTTTCCAAGCCACTGCCTCTTACACCCCTAACACTTCCCTTCGGTGAGCCTCTGTGCCCTCAGCACAGCACTTGTAACAGTCACTCAGCTGAAAATGCCACGAAATTACAGTTTTCCAGGACAAGAGTCATCGCACAAGAGCCTCAAATGGGCACCTTGCACTGGGCTATATTTGTCATGCTGCCTCTCCAGGGCACTGTGCTGTGTCCCAGCACAGAGAGGGGCTGTGAGCAAGCTCAGAGTGCTGCTCTGGAGCAGCAGGAACAGCAGATCTTTCCAAGGAATTGCTTGGACAAGAGATGAAATTAAGCAGTGATAAGAGGGGCATCTGCCAGGCTCGGGGATGGTCCCTGAGTGCCAAGCTGATCCCACCAGTTGCTGGAAAAAATACCACAACAGAAACCAACCAAAACCAACTACAACTGAGTCTGTGCTGAGCTGTTTTGCAGTACAGAGTTGTGGAAGGCCAGTCTGGGAAGGGGCACTGGATCCCTCCTGGGGGAAGCACATCCCACCGGAGAGATGGTGAGAGTCAGACCTGAGTGCCAGACTTTCCAGCACAGAAAGGATCCCCTTGGCTGCTGGTGAAGCAAAGTCTCTCTCCCAGCTCTGCTGGTGACCACTCTGTGCAGCTCGGGAGCTTTCCCAATCCTGCCACAATCGGTGCCATTCCCAGCAGAGCTGGGACAGGGGCAGGCCAAGCCCTTCGAGGGAGCTCTGCAATGGGGAGAGACTTGTGTTGACAGGGTTAAAGCTGGAAGTTGGATTCGGTAAATGAAGGAAAACAATTTTCCTGTATGCTAAGCGAAGCAGATGAGATGCACTCAGCTTCTATTTAGGGCAGCGTCAAAATTAGCAGCGGGCCAGAGAGGAACATTAGCTATGTGGGAGCTGAGCAGGGAGGGGAAAAACCCCTCTCACCTCCCTCCACGTGCCGATCTGCTAACGCAGCTCCAACAGACCCTCTCAACCACCAACAGTTGCACCTTGGAAAGCAAAGCTTGCTTGGGCTTGAACCCAGGATGAACTACATCTCACAGCTCTGCTATGTTGGGCTGTGTGACCCAAATTTCAGGCTAGGGGAGGAAGAAGGCTCATTCACACCGAGCCTCCCTCCAAGCTTCCCCACGACGGCATGGAGTAAATCAGAGCAGTCCTGAATCCAGGGGAGAAGTTCTATCTTGCAGGAGCAGCTTGACAGTTTGTGATCACAGCCCCCAGCTCAGAGCTTCCCCCCTACAGGACCAGATACCCTAGGGCACATCCTGCTAGAGACCCTGCAGTTCAGGGTGGCAGGATCCCTGCTCACCTGCCTGGGAGAGGGAATGATGCTCTGAAAATGACTGAAGAGCAACCAGTGCATGGAAGTGTGGGACAGGGCTGGCTATGGTACGGTGGCACCCCAGGGGCAGAGGGTGGTGCCCACAAGGGCAGCATTAGGGCTCACAGGTGCTGCACCAGCCCAGGATGGGATGAGTGGAGCTGCAGGGCAGCATTCACAGTCCCAACCAACCTGTGCCCCAGGCCTGCACCTCTCTAATTAAAATGCCCAAATATGACAAGGCATGGAGTGCTTGGCTCCTTCCCTCCCAGTCTGCTCCTAGCCCCGAGGCAGGAGCTTCGAGGGCAGATGGATGTGCAATCACACCCTGGGGCTCACCATCTGCTACTGAGCTGTGCTCGCCTGGGGCTGGGCACATCCAGGGCAATCTGGAGGCTTCCTGAGAGCCAGGGCATCCCCACACAGGCTGAGCAACAGCCACAGGCACACACAGCCAGGCACCACAGCACAACACTGCTTCCTGGGCACCAGCTTTGGTTTCCAGCCCCAAGACCATTTCTCACCCCAAGGCTGGTGTCCCTGCCTGGCCTCATCCCACATCCTCTGCCTCTAGCACTGCAAACTGCCCAAATTTTACCAACTGTCACCTTCCTGTGGTCTGCCAGGTGCTGGCACAGGCAAAGAGGCAAAACCACCCCCATCTGCATGGGGCAGAGGGACCTGGGGCTTTTGCTGGCACTGCAGAGATCACCCTAGGGCAGATTTGGCTGCAAACACACTCACCCTTGGCATGGGCATAGAGACACCTCTCCCTATGCAGGGACAAGGACAAGCCTGTGCTCCTGCTCCCTACCTTGGGCAGGACAAGGACAGCACCATCCCTGGCAGGCGGAGATCCCATACATGGGGGTTGGATCTCTGTTCCTATTTTCTGAGAGTAATATTCCCACCTGGACACTGTCAGCTCACTGGAGAGCTGAGCAGCCTGGCTAGGGACAGCCCAGAAACAGGACTTTCACCTGGCACAAGTCTCCCCCACTGGAAGGCATCCAGGCTTTTGCATACATTCCCTTCCTGGTGGATGCACAGGCTGTTTAACCTGCCTGGGTGGATCCAGGATGTGTAAACCACAGCTGAGGTGTTGGGAAGGCAGCAAAGAGCAGCAGAGAGGAGTGATGGGTGCCTGCTCCTGCTCTCTCCTCTCCCTGCAGTGATCTTCCCTAGGGAGTCCTGCTCAGCCGGGACCAAGGGTCCCAGCCTGGTGCTCCCAGGCTGTAGGTCACTGCCCTGCAGAAGAGCACAAATCCACCTTATTTCCTCTCCAATAAACTCCCACTCATGCCAAATAAAACCTGTCACAGTCTTTGGCTGAGAAGGTGCTGGGCTGTCTGGCTCTGCCCCAGACATGCAGGACATGGAGCAGCACCTCAGTCTGGCAGCTCCAAATGCACAGGTGACACCAAGGCTGAAGCGATTCCAGGCAAGGCAAAACAAAGTCCAAACCAACTCCTGTGCCTAAACCCCCTTGGCCATTCTCACTTGGATTCAGGAAAGCCATTAAAGTCAGAAGGCATAATTACAAGAACTAAACCACTTCCCAGACCTGAAGCCACAGCCCACAAATGCCCCATAAGACTTCTACCCTTGGACCCGCCGCCCATCCCTGGGACTCTGCAGAGAAAAGCCTTTCTCTGGCACATTCCCATTCCCAAATCCCATCCCAGGATCAGAACTCTGTCCCCAGTCTTGTTTTGGCACCCAAGCAGCCCATTCCCACCACCAGATCAGCCCTGTCTGTGCTCCCCCACCAACACCTGCTGTGAGCAACACCTCAACCCAACGGCTCTGGCAACGGTGGCTTCTCCCACAGCTTCCTGCTGCCCCCACAGCAGCCTGGGATGCAGCTCTCCCCACCAAAGCCTGGCTGATCACACCCAAGTTGCTCTGGGACAGGGCTCCAGACACTCCCAAGGACCAAGGCAGATGATTTCTGCACTGGTTGAGCCATAGCACATCCCCAGAGCCATGGGTGAAACATCCCCTTCTGTGGGAGCTTCACCCACCAAACCAAACTACAGACACTCTCATGAGCTACCCAAAGTGCCAAACCTTGTCCCTCTGTCAGATCAGCTTCTCCTCTTTGCAGCTGGTATCCTCACAGGTGCTTTTGGTTCCTCTCCTCTCCTCCAGGCTCAGCTGCTTGCAGACCTGCCTGGATGCAGCAAGGAGCTGTCAGGCTCAAGGGCTGCTCACTCCAGCTTCATCCGAGGGGACAGCAGGTAGGGATCTGCAGGCAGGACCTCTGCCCAGCAGCTGATGGACACTGGTGGCTCAGGTACAGTATAACCAGCTGCTGCTCAAAGACATCTGGTGTGTGGCAGGTCAGGGAGGAGTGAGGACAGCAGAGGGTTCAGGAATAACACGGTGGTTTTCACCCTCAGAACACGCTGCCTTGGTATTTAAATGTGTCCACCACAGTTCCTCCTCCTCCCCACCTTACTTCAGGGAGGAGACAACGTGGAGATGAAGTGACCTGACCACATCCCACAGTGACATAGTGGCAAAGCCAGAACAGGATCTAGTGATCAGTGCCTAGGGCTAAGCTCTCATCTATGGACAGTCCTTTGATATCTGTGCCCCTTGTTCTAGCAGACACTTATCTGCCCAGAGCCTGGCAAACATTCATTCCAGCACATCCATGCCCATGTGCCATGCCTTATCTGCCTCTCCCTCTGTGAATCACCACTCCTCACTTCTGCTTTCTCAAGGCAGCCAACCCCAAAATCCCCAGGCAGGAGCAGAGCTGGTGGTGCTGGTGAGCACCAGTGCTGGGAGCACCTTATCCAGAGATAAGGGAGCACCTTATCCAGGACTGCCCCACTGCCTGTCAGTCCCCTGCATGCAGCTTTTCTTCATCCTGAATCACTCCAACACCTCACCCTGGAGGGTGATGTGGGGGCCACATCCCTGACACGGCCACAACCCCAAACCCCCAAAACATCAGGCACTGAGCTAACATCCTCAGCTCACCTGGGAAAGGCACTGAGGGGAGGTTTGCAATGAGCCTTCCAGAAGGCAAAGTGGGGCTGGAGGAGAGGAGTGGAAGCAAACCCCAGGCTGAGAGCCACAGCCTGTTTTATCAGGAGGTGAATTCTTGGAGCACCATCTCCAGGCTCAGGAGCAGTGCTCTCTCCCAGCCCCCAGCACCTTGCTGGAGTCTCCACTCCTTGATGATCCTGTCATCTTCAGTCAGCAGAGCTGTAAAACCCGCCTGG